TTCTGCCAAAACCTTGCAGTCAAGTAGGTGTCTTTCCAGAACTGTTTTTGTTCTCTTTGTAATCAGTTAGTATCTGGGATTAATAAATTCTAGCAAGATCACTTTTCTTCAGGATAAGGAACATTTTTCTTAGGATGAGAATTAAACTAGCCACCCACATTACAATTTGATTGTACCATCTCTGTAAAATCTCTTTTTGATTTACCAAAACCTGTGTAGTGTGAGGGCCTACTTAATTGATCAGTCAGGTAAACCCTTGCATTACATTAAAAAAAGTACTTTTAGATTGTAAAGTGTGTGACCATCTCTGTTTTCAACCTGTATGATTTGTGTTGTTTTCTAACAGCGCTAACAGATGATTGGTTGCAGATGTTAGCAGGTGTATAGACCCTTCTGTGTAACAGACTTCCCATTTGCATATTTTTGGATTGCATTGCAGATCTATAAAATACATTTGTATGGTGAAATGTAATCTGCAATCGGTCTGATTACTGCTGTGGAACAGATTACGCATCCAAATTTTAATCTGTCACTGTGCACATGTTCTTAAGATGTAATTGGATTTTAAGGCATAAGTCATTCATTTGTGAAAACAAAACAATTTAACATTCTGATTCATTGGTTTTGGGTTAAGAGCCATTGTATAAAATTACCTCATATATTTACAAAATATTTTCCTTACTTAAAACAGAGAACTAGTATGCAAACAATTTTTATGGAAGGATGTGAAAGGACTGGGAAATAGTTTGAGAAATGCAGAAATCCTAAAAGTCACAGTTTGGATATGCATGATTGATGAATAAACTCTAGACTTGGATAATATTAAACAGTTTCCACCATTTATCAAAGCAGAAAAAAAGGTTAAAAGCAATGTAGGAGCAACCATACTCAAAAAACGGTTAAGAAACACCATCTGTTTGATTCCCTAACCTGTGCTTCATATCCTGCTCTGGGGTAGTGACTCCAAAGATATTAACTGAAGTGCTGCCCTGGTATTCCCAACACTTGAGTCAGGGAAGGGCGACTTCTCTTAGCTCTTAAAGTTAATCTCCAGGAAAAAAGTATTTATAATAGTAAACAAAATTTGTAGTATATTGTAGATCTTCTGTTCCAAGCTCCAGCTATATTTATTCAAAGTCAGACTTCAAACAGTGTGATCCCAGCACTTCCTGTTAAGAAGACCAACCATCCTGCCTGTTCTTTGTGCTCTGGGTGACCCTTCTTCTTAACATCTACCTGTAGTTGAATTTTAGGGAGTACTGACATCATCATGTTAGCTTTTTGTCCCTATGAGTAAATTAGAAGTGCTTCTGCTAGCCCAGCTCTGCCCAACCCTATCCAGTATCTACCCTGTCAGAAGGGCTCTTGGAAGATGTAGAGTCCAGTGTGAAGCCCACTTACCAGTATTGTGAATGAGCAGAGCTTTTGGCCACTAGCTGATGACATCAATGGATGTTACAATGTATATTACAGAGCGCTGGGGAAAGTCAGACACAAATTTGTCATTGCAGTTTGTGAAATGAGAGAGGGATAATAGGGCTAGGAAAAGAACATGCTTGAACATGAGCTTTAATCACACAGGTGCTCTTTTTTTATTATCATGTGAAGCTGTAGGGCTATGCCTTATGCTTTATTGTACTGCATGGTCTGCTTTTAGCTAAAAGAATATGATGCATAGTATAATTCATGCGTGACATGTTAACAAACACATATTATTAAAAAATGGAGTTTACATTGATAGTTGAAAATATAGTGTTTAGTTGAATTTTAGTTTTTTTCTTAGTTGAAGTGAACCTGTTATAAAAACAAAGATGTGAAACTGATGTCATTTGTTCAGAGCAGGCACCACAAGGTGCGTAGACATTATTTTTGTTGTCAGGAAAGCTTCTCCTGTGTCCTTTAACCTGAGCACATTCCTCACTCAGTTATATGCTTAAACCTTTTGATGTCTGCTCTTAGGGAGTTACATTAGTTTCAAATTTTCACACAGCTTCCATTTAAACTAAAGTATTTGCTTTAAAAATTAATAAACAAGCAATTCTTGCATATAGTTTTGTTTTCATACAGTCTCTGTTTAAACTAAGGTAATAAACAAGCCATGCTTGTGTGTATCCTTCCCAATGTTTGTCGCAAGATGGTATTTTTCATGGTGAGAATAGATATACAAACTCAGCAACATCATTTCCTTGGAAATCATTTTAAAATATTGAAAGGTAAAACAAACATGAATATTTAAATCATTTTACTCTGGATTTTATAATGAAACTTTCATGCAGCACAGAAAATGCAGACAATATCCATAATTTAATATCCAAGTTATAGAGTTTAGGTTTCAAACTATGTGAATAACAAAACACCACATTGTGTTCTTAATAATACTATTCAAGTCAATATCGTTTGACAATTCAGGTGTTCCTGGTAACTTTAAACATTCGGCAGAGGTCTTTGAAAGCCTTTTATTAGTCCATTGTCAAAAAGGTTTGCAATCATTAGCAATCAATGGTCACAGCTGAATGGTCTGGAAATTATAGGCATGATTTAAAAAGAATAAGCCTGAATAGTGTACCCAAGTTACCTGCAAACAGCTAAACAGATTGAGGGAAGAAATATACCTGTTTAGTTTTCCTAGCGTTTTGAATTGGTCACATTTGCAATCTTTGTGAAAGTCAAATTCACAACCTTCTTAGCACTCTTAATTAAAACACTAGGATTTCCCAGTGCATGGGTAATAACCAGCCTGATTTTGCGAGGACTAAACATATAGTTCCTGTCCTTGACCAAGATTTCTCATTTACTATTTACAAACATGAAGTTGACTTTCCTTAATAGTAACTCTGGTTAAGGTTCGGTTCACACTGCCGCGACTTGGGATCCGACTGGTGAGACCCCAAGACACATGACATGTGAAATCCCATGTTAATCAATGAGAGCTGTCTTAAATGTGCTACTGAAGTCGCTCTGACTTTAGAAAAGGTTCCTGTACTATTTACACTATAGATCCTCATCTATATTGATGTGATTTGGATCCAACATTACAGGGAGATTACCCAGGCATTTCATGAAAGTTGCTTCAAAGTTTCTTCAGAGTTGCTTCAAAGTCGCTTCAAAGTAGTACTCAAGTTGCCTGGCAAAGTTGCACTGCAAGTCGCACAACTTTCAGGTAGCAGTAGTGTGAAACTGAGACTAAGAGTTAATTAGTACCATACTGGAGATAATTATTATATCACTGTTTTGATATATTGAAAAGACATGGCAGTAGATGTTTTTTGTTAGCATACATGTCCCCTTGACTATAAAAACATATTAATAATTATAATAATCTTGAGAGCTGGTATAGCAACTAAAGGAGTTTGGTAAGTACAAGTAAAAAGTCCAAACCAACAATGCCGTTCTGTTTGCTGGTAGGTAACCTTTTGCATTAGATTTTCATTACACAAATAAGTTTGCATGCTTATCGTAGATCCGATTTTCAGTGATTGTTTTCCACTGTTATTTGGGATACAACAAGCTTGTAGAGAAATGGGTTGTTTTATGTAAAAGTTCTGTTTAATTTCGGTACATTTTTCCTGCTGATTTGGCACTTAAAGCATGTTTATAAATCACAACTTATTACCTCAAATCTCTCCATTTTTGTAATTGAAAGTACATGTTCACTCAGGTAGTCATTTAAAACAGACTACTTAATATACATTGAACTGAACATGCTTTAATTGTTTCAGCAATATTAGAAACTGGAAGGAATTGAGTAGGTTATTTATTGAAGGAGAATATGTTGTACAGGTAGGTAATTTAAATGTCAGGCTTCACCATCATACGTCCTCATCCACGTTGTCTTCTTTGTCCATTTTTATTTTTATTTGAGTCTGTTCATTTTAACAAGCCAAGGTACATTTTGTTCCCTAAACTATTACATTTTGGTTCTCATTCTGTTGCCCAATTTAGTTATTTTTTTTTGGTTTTGTTTCTATTTGTTTTTTTTTCCTTTCTTCCTCATTTTTTATTTTTGGATCATTTTTCTATCTATACACTTCAACTTCCCTGTAATGCTTTACTGAAATCAGAGCCATCAGCTCCTCCACAAGACATAAGATGTAACAGCCAAAGTTCTACCAGCATCTTGGTAAGTTGGCTACCACCAGCAGAGGACAAGCAGAATGGTGCAATCACAGCCTATTCCATCAAATACACTGGAGTTGATGGAGAAGATAACAAGCCCCACGAAATTACAGGCATTTCCTCAGAAACTAGAGAGTACCTTTTGGAACAGCTGGAAAAATGGACTCAGTACCATATCTCTATGATCGCTTACACTGATGTTGGACCAGGCCCAGAAAGTGCCTCCATATTGGTTCGGACAGATGAAGATGGTATGTTTCCTCCTCTCAGTCAGTATATACCTGTTGCTTCTCTTCAAGCCTCTGTATTTCCATTGAATAATGGGAAGGTTTTTTTTCAATCCTTTACTTTTTGTTTTTTACACTGCCTTTTTGCAGTCTTTGTTTTTTCTTCAACCGACTAAAAATATCTGGAAACACCTCTTTTATTTCTGTTTCCTTCTACATTCTTGGCTTTTTTCTTCTTGTTTTTGTTTTTCTTGTTTTATCCCACCTCAGTACTAATCTTGACATTTCGATTTCTTTGAGATGTCTCAATCTTTCCTTTCTTCTTGATTTTTTTTTCTTTTCAATCCTGTTTTTGTGGAAACTGATGCTCAGTTTACTCATTTTGCTGTCTTGTATTTTGTAATCATTGTACTACCAGAAATAATAAAAAAGAAGTCTTTCAGCTTTTTACGTGAAAACCAATCATTTTTTTAAACATTTTGTTTTTGTCTTATTATTTTGATCAGTACAACCTTTCAACTTAAAGTGCTTTGAATTTTCAAAGCATCTTCCTTGGCTTTTTTTACATTTTTACATGTTTTTCTCTTATCCAGATACCCTTTTTCTTCCATTTTTGCATCAGTCATGGTTTTTGATCTTTTCACTATTTAGTAGAAAATGATTGTTTTGAATTTTTGTTTGCTTGCATCAAAAGATTTTTATTCAGGGGGTGGGACCGATGGCTGTAATTTTGTTTTATCAAATGATGTTCTTCCAGTTCCTAGTGGTCCTCCTCGCAAAGTCGAGGTAGAGGCTGTGAATTCGACATCTGTTAAAGTGTTCTGGCGCTCCCCGGTGCCTAACAAGCAACATGGTCAAATTCGTGGATACCAGGTCCATTATGTGAGGATGGAAAATGGAGAACCCAAAGGCCCACCCATGCTAAAGGATGTCATGCTGGCTGATGCACAGGTAATTGCTGAATATTAAGATGCCTTAATGTTAGTATTTGCATATACAGTACGGTGCATAAGTCTTAGGCAAGTGTAAACAAAATGCTGTAAATAAAGAATGCTTCCATCAATAGAAGTGTTCATAGTTTATTTTTGGCAATTAACAAAATGGAAAACAAATTAACAGAAGAGAAATCCAAATCAAATCAATAAGTGGTGTGACCACCCTTTGCCTTCAAAACAGCATTAATTCTTTGATTTTTCTAGGTACACTTTGCACACAGGATCTCAGCAGGTAGGTTGTTCCAAACATATTGGGGAACTAAATGCAGATCTTCTGTGGATGTAGGCTGCCTCAAATCCTACTGTCTCTTCTTGTAATCCCAGACAGGCTTGCATGTCTGCAACTGGAGTTGGAGATTTGGTCAGGATCAATCTTGTCCTCAATGCTGAGATATACAGGCAGATACTTATCCATCATGTCTTAAACATCAGGGAAGTGTGTAATATGCCCCAAATTTATTCTGCAGCAGAACAATGACCCCAAACATACAGCCAATGTCATTAAGAACTATCCTCAGTGTAAAGAAGAACAAAGAGTCCTGGAATTGATGATTTGTTTCCCACAGAGCCCTGATCTCAACATCATGGAGTCTGTCTGGGATTACATGAAGAGACAGAAGGATTTGAGGCAGCCTGCATCCACAGAACATCTGCGGTTAGTTCTCCAAGATGTTTGGAAACAACCTACCTGTTGAATTCCTTCAAAAACTGTGTGCAACTGTACCTAGAAGAATTGATGCTGTTTTGAAGGCAAAAGGCGGTCACACCAAATATTGATTTGATTTGGACTTCTCTTCTGTTCATTTACTTTCCATTTTGTTAATTGATAAAAATAATCATTAGCACTTCTATTTTTGAAAGCATTTTTTCACACCTGCTTAAGACTTTTGCACAGCACTGTATTTTTATGACAATAGCTCACTGTTAACTGGCATATGATTGTTTACCTAATGTGCCTGGTTTATTTTTATGAATACATGAAAGTAGAATTTTAGAGCATCCTGGTGGTTTTATCCCAAATCAGTTAATTTAAAAGAACTTATAAAGGCCATTGTGAAAGATTTACTTAGGTACACCCCTCTCCTCCCTAGACACAAGGGGGTTTATTTACTAAAGCTGGAGAGTCCAAAATCAGACTCCCTTCTGCATAAAAACCAATCAGCTTCTAACCTCAGCTTGTTCAATGAAGCTTTGGCAATGAAACCTGGAAGCTGATTGGTTTCTATGCAGAAGGGAGTCTGATTTTGGACTCTCCAGCTTTAGTAAATAAACCCCAAGATGTCTGACAGGGCTGCTCATCTGTCCCTAGCAAACACATAATCACTCCTCATGTGAACAGCAGTGGAAATTGTCAGCCAGTCATTGATTTGTACAGGCTTCTTTGCACACACACCTGGCTATACCTGCCACAGAAATATGTAGATCTGGGTGGCGAACAACAGAAAACTAATTTAATTTGTTTATCTAACATTTTAACTATGTTAATCTTATTTTTAATGTATCAACAATATTAACTATGTTTGTGTGAAAATGTTTATAAATACCAAAAAATGTTCAGTGACTAAAATTTTATATAATTTTAAGTCATAACAAGTAATGAATATCTCTTGCATATTTTGGGTATTTAACCGCCTGCCGACCGCCCTATTGCAGAAATACTGCTACAGGGCGGCAGCGGTGCGCAAAATTACTTGCATTTCTGGGTAGGGGACACACGCAAGCCTTACCATTTGCAGCCACGGCTGTCAATCTCAGGACCTTGGATGGTAATTACTCGCCAGTACCTGGTGATTTCTGAGTATCTCCAACAGAGAGGAGAACTGTTTTGTTTACTAACAGTTCTCCTCTCTGTCAGCTCGGGCACACTGCTGTGGATGGCTGGGCACAGCGAAGCTATCCACAGCAGTGTGATTACAGTGAGTCCACACATACCGTCCCATAGTAAAACACTCCTAGCACACAGTAAACCCTTTGATCGCCCCTCACGTTAACCCCTTCCTGCCCAGTGCCATTAGTACAGTGTCAGTGCTTTTTTTTTTTAGCACTGATCACTGTATTTATGTCACTGGGGATGTCAGTTCTCCCCAGTGTCAGCATGTCTGCCGCAGTCCCGCAGTCCCACTATAAGTCACTGATTGCTGCCATTACTAGTAAAAATTAAAAAAACAAATCTCAGTATCTATACCGCCATTTGTAAACGCTTTAACTTTCACATAATACAATTAATTTACACGTATTGGGAATTTGTTTTAGCAGAGACATGTAGCAGAATACATTTTGGTATGAATTTATGACAAAATTTGTTTTTTTACTGGACATGTTTAATAGCAAAATTCAAAAGTATTGTTTTTTTTTTTCAAAAGTGTCCATCTTTTTATTTGTATAGCGCAAAAAATTAAAAATGCACAGGCAATCAAATACCACCGAAAGAAAGCTCAATTCGTGGGAAAAAAGGATGTAAATTTCATTTGGGTTCAGTGTTGCATGACTGCGCAATTGTCAGTTAAAGTAACGCAGCACCATAATGCAAAAAATGGCCTGGTCAGGAAGGGGGGTAAAGCCTCAGGAGGGCAAGTGGTTAAGCTGAATACAGTTCCACCATGTGTATTAACATTCACTTTGCTAAGTAAACAGATCCTACTCTTTGAGTAAATCAACATCACTGACTTATTTTTACTACTAAACAAAAAACTAAATTGACTAACACAATGGATTATATTGAGCAGGTTAGAGTCTACATAGTTGAAATGCTGAAGTATAATATGAAACAGGCCTTTCAAGCAATATGTTGCAACAAATATATATAGACACAAATAATTTTTTATACAGTAATGGGTCTGAACATGTGGAATTTTTATAGTACCATTTAATGCCAATAGAAATATTAATAGATTTATTAAAGTTTATACCATTTATTGAATAACATAAATAAAAAACAGTTTAACTAAATAATTTAAAAACCAAAGGTCCTATGCAAATTCAAAGGCCCTGCTATGCAAACTACTTCCATCAAAGATCCAAAAGAGCAATTGTAGTTATTTGAATTTATTGTGATGTTAATGTAGCAATAGCTTGATCTTTCCTGTAGGGGCTATGATTCTTCAACACATTTCATGATACTGGTTCACTTCTTCAGAAGGATAGGGAAGAAATTTATGTGCAAAAATAATTACACAAGATCTTAAATTAATATCAGGAAGAAAAACATTTTACCCATATAAGTATCATTTAGTTTGTGTGGTAATTACACGTTATTTATTGCTTGACCCACAAACAGATATAAAAACATTCTTCATTGTGAAAAAGCAGAGTAAGAGGTCAACACAGCACATGGCCCAAGACCAAGGTATACTGCCAAGGTATACCACCAAAGCTATAAAGGCCGCTGACTATAGCTGGCTGCACTGATAAGTGTATTCTGATAGGAACCTCCCCGCTGTCAAAATACAATGGCTCAGTGGGTATGATTCCCCCATCCAGAAAATGTATATTAAATAGGGCACGCTTGTTAGATCCCAACCTCTGTAGCTGTAGGATAAAGGTGCCAAATGGATATCAGGGATGGATGGATGGGACCAATAACACTGAGACAGCTCTTCTTAGAGTGGAAGAAAGGCTCTAATGCAGTAAACACGAAAAAGATAGGAAGGCGCCTCTAAGTGCAGTATAGACAATTTATTAGTGAACAATAGATAAATTGCACTTACAAGATAAATAATTAAACAGACTCATCGTGTGGTGTGTTAAGATCCAAGTGAGATATCCAGCTATCCAGCAGCAGCTCAGTCTCTGAGACTGAGCTGCTGCTGGATGGCTGGATATCTCACCTGGATCTTAACACACCACACGATTAGTCTTTTTTTAACTATTTCTCTTTTTCATGATTCCCCCATCCACATTCTCGAATCAGGTCCTTTTTTTTTTGTTGGTTGAACAGAAAAAAAAAAAAGATAAATGTATGGCCTGCATAACTGGCACCACCCCAAATGAAAGATATCATTTGATTAGGTTTTTGCCAGTAAAAGCATTTGGACTAGCTGTTTATAATAACAGCTCATAAACGTTTTCCATTTGCGACATTGATTAAATCATTGTTCAATAAATATGTGGCAGTTTAAAGCATTGGTTTTTTTATTGTCATAAATTAGGTGAACATGAGTTTAGTAGCAATTCCTGCAAAAATGATTATTATTACAGGTACTTATATAGCGCCGTCAATTTACGCAGCGCTTTACATATATGTTGTACATTCACATCAGTCCCTAACCCTCAAGGGGTGTACAATCTAAGGTCCCTAACTCACATTCATACATACATATACTAGGGCCAATTTAGACAGAAGCCAATTCACCTACCCGCATGTCTTTGGATTGTGAGAGGTAACAGGAGTACCCAGAGGAAACCCATGCAGGCACAAGGAGAACATGCAAACTCGAGGCAGGTGGTGCCGTGGTTGGGACTTGAACCAGCGACCCTAATACTGCCAGGCAAAAATGCTACTTACAGCTGTATACCGTTATTTGTGTTTATTGTAGTGTACCTCAAATTGTATCCTGAAGATCTAATACCACTGCATACTTTGTAGTGTTTTACATGTTTTCTTAGAAGGCATAGTGGTTACCACATTTGGTCCTAATAAAATTGTAACATTTAACCTGAAAGTGTTAAAATACCCATTTATCAATGGCCCCTCCTAAGGTTAATAAACATACATTTACAGAAATTGTCTTGGTCATTGTTTTCAGTTATTTAATGCCACACACTAGATTCCCTCATGGTTCAGATTCTTCTTTGAGACACATTCTATAATAAATGAAAAGAAGAGGAGCTATTAATAGTGGAGTTATGGTAAGCTTTATTTAATTAAAGATAGGTTGGGAAAGATATATTCTTGAAAAATGATGTTCTGCCTGTGTAAGTTGCATGTAATTTTACAAGGTACAACAGCTGAACAAT